TGCCACTACGACTGTGACTACGACTACCACTACTAGTCGCAGTAGCAGGGTCGGTTTAAGTACCGAACTAGTCAAGGACCAATCGCGGGAATACTCATAAGCCTTCTGCTCGACAGGGTATGCCGCCCGAACACAAAATGGTCCGACGCGACTGCTGCATACTGTTTCCCACCCCAACCCTCACTGGAAGCACGGTCTTCTGGATAACTGGTAAGGTACATGGCTAGGATCTTATAAGGAAGCAGGGCAGCCAGGCAACATAAACACGTTGACATGAGGGTTTACGCATGCACCAAGTTTCCTGCAAGCCCTGAACCATACGATCCCGGCCTTTGTTAGTGTCGGCATACCACTTTCCGTTCGCGTCGTCCTGGATTGGCAACGGGGCATCTGCAATAAGTGTTTAAAACACGGAATTTACTTTCAAACGCTTCGTAAAGATTTTTAGTCGAAATCTGATGCCGCATCTGAATGAATTTGCTTGTTGCTTTGGCCATGCCTTGGCTGATGCTGAGAGCAGCCGTGTGGATTCCGCCTTGGGCTTTAATGGTGTGCCAGGAGCCCACAAGGACAGTGTTAACGAAACCCCATAGACCCGTCCTCTGAACAAGCCAAACACCATAATATGCCCTACTTGGAAGTTCACAGGTAGTTAGAAGTTATAAGTGGGGCTATAAGTCCCCTATAATTTGGGTTATAATTATAGTTACCTTACTTATAACCCTTCTTATAATAACTACCCATGAACCTCCAAGTATAGAAGCCCTAAACCCGTAAATAATACGCACCAACCTAAACCCTAACCCGTCGATGGAGTCAGTATAGAGGTCAAAACCATGGTCACATATAGCTGTTCTACAATCTACCCTTTACTTCGGGGCTGAGTACCCTAGCCCCAAAAAGGTTAACCTTTTCAACGATGGTAGGATTATATAAACCCCAAAGGGTTAAAGGTTACCTACCCTACACCCTAAACCCTAAACCAAAAAAAACCCTACCTACTCAGCTACTAAGCTTACCAAGGCCCCGATGTTACCACCCTTCATATGACCCGTATGGAACCTTCAGAGGTTCCCCTAAAAAGGAACCCGATCTTAATTTAATTGTCTAGGATTCAACGTGCAGGGCTTTTAGGGTTTTTAGGGTTTAGGGTTCAGGAAGTTCAGGGTTTAGGGTTTTCAGGGTTTAGGGTTCAGGGTTTAGGGTTCAGGGTTCAAGGTCTAGGGTTTAGGGTTATTGTTAAGGACCAAATGGTTTGGCCACGCCGCGCCTTCCAGGAGTTGTCCTGCCACGAGGAGTCCTCGTACCAGTCATCCCTGCGCCAAGATGACGCCTGGGAAGGTGCCTAAGTGCAACTCTTGCTGGAGAGCCCGGCATGAAGTAATATTAGGGTTTAGGACTTAGGGTTTAGGGCTTAGGGTTTAGGGTTTAACAAAAGCAGCATGTTGTTTTTTTACAGGTATCTTTACAAGGGCCCCTTCGTGGGGTCTAGATATTCGAGTTTACGGCTTCAGGTTTATGCAGGCTTTGTGGAAGTTGGGCTTATCAAGGAGCAGAGGTCTTCGGGTTTCTTAGGGTTTAGGGTTTAGGGTTTAGGGTTTAGGGTTTAGGGTGTTCAAGCCTCTTGCTCTGGACCTCTAAGCAACGCGAAGCCTGTTTTGGAGGTTCGTGTTATACGTAGGGTAGGGGACCTATAACCCCACTTATAACTACCCATATAGGCCTCATAGTAGTTCCTTGTTGGGATTACCTACTAGGATCCTAAATACTAACCACAAAAACGAACTA